GAGGATGGAATAGCGACAAAATCGATAAAGGTACCATCTTTCAGTGACAAATTGTAGCCCTTTCAGTATTTTTCTTTTTCGTTTCTATCCGCTATGGACAGTGCTACTTTGGCGACTCTCCAGCCGTTTTTCGGTGGACAGTTGGAGGATGGAATAGCGACAAAATCGATAAAGGTACCATCTTTCAGTGACAAATTGTAGCCCTTTCAGTATTTTTCTTTTTCGTTTCTATCCGCTATGGACAGTGCTACTTTGGCGACTCTCCAGCCGTTTTTCGGTGGACAGTTGGAGGATGGAATAGCGACAAAATCGATAAAGGTACCATCTTTCAGTGACAAATTGTAGCCCTTTCAGTATTTTTCTTTTTCGTTTCTATCCGCTATGGACAGTGCTACTTTGGCGACTCTCCAGCCGTTTTTCGGTGGACAGTTGGAGGATGGAATAGCGACAAAATCGATAAAGGTACCATCTTTCAGTGACAAATTGTAGCCCTTTCAGTATTTTTCTTTTTCGTTTCTATCCGCTATGGACAGTGCTACTTTGGCGACTCTCCAGCCGTTTTTCGGTGGACAGTTGGAGGATGGAATAGCGACAAAATCGATAAAGGTACCATCTTTCAGTGACAAATTGTAGCCCTTTCAGTATTTTTCTTTTTCGTTTCTATCCGCTATGGACAGTGCTACTTTGGCGACTCTCCAGCCGTTTTTCGGTGGACAGTTGGAGGATGGAATAGCGACAAAATCGATAAAGGTACCATCTTTCAGTGACAAATTGTAGCCCTTTCAGTATTTTTCTTTTTCGTTTCTATCCGCTATGGACAGTGCTACTTTGGCGACTCTCCAGCCGTTTTTCGGTGGACAGTTGGAGGATGGAATAGCGACAAAATCGATAAAGGTACCATCTTTCAGTGACAAATTGTAGCCCTTTCAGTATTTTTCTTTTTCGTTTCTATCCGCTATGGACAGTGCTACTTTGGCGACTCTCCAGCCGTTTTTCGGTGGACAGTTGGAGGATGGAATAGCGACAAAATCGATAAAGGTACCATCTTTCAGTGACAAATTGTAGCCCTTTCAGTATTTTTCTTTTTCGTTTCTATCCGCTATGGACAGTGCTACTTTGGCGACTCTCCAGCCGTTTTTCGGTGGACAGTTGGAGGATGGAATAGCGACAAAATCGATAAAGGTACCATCTTTCAGTGACAAATTGTAGCCCTTTCAGTATTTTTCTTTTTCGTTTCTATCCGCTATGGACAGTGCTACTTTGGCGACTCTCCAGCCGTTTTTCGGTGGACAGTTGGAGGATGGAATAGCGACAAAATCGATAAAGGTACCATCTTTCAGTGACAAATTGTAGCCCTTTCAGTATTTTTCTTTTTCGTTTCTATCCGCTATGGACAGTGCTACTTTGGCGACTCTCCAGCCGTTTTTCGGTGGACAGTTGGAGGATGGAATAGCGACAAAATCGATAAAGGTACCATCTTTCAGTGACAAATTGTAGCCCTTTCAGTATTTTTCTTTTTCGTTTCTATCCGCTATGGACAGTGCTACTTTGGCGACTCTCCAGCCGTTTTTCGGTGGACAGTTGGAGGATGGAATAGCGACAAAATCGATAAAGGTACCATCTTTCAGTGACAAATTGTAGCCCTTTCAGTATTTTTCTTTTTCGTTTCTATCCGCTATGGACAGTGCTACTTTGGCGACTCTCCAGCCGTTTTTCGGTGGACAGTTGGAGGATGGAATAGCGACAAAATCGATAAAGGTACCATCTTTCAGTGACAAATTGTAGCCCTTTCAGTATTTTTCTTTTTCGTTTCTATCCGCTATGGACAGTGCTACTTTGGCGACTCTCCAGCCGTTTTTCGGTGGACAGTTGGAGGATGGAATAGCGACAAAATCGATAAAGGTACCATCTTTCAGTGACAAATTGTAGCCCTTTCAGTATTTTTCTTTTTCGTTTCTATCCGCTATGGACAGTGCTACTTTGGCGACTCTCCAGCCGTTTTTCGGTGGACAGTTGGAGGATGGAATAGCGACAAAATCGATAAAGGTACCATCTTTCAGTGACAAATTGTAGCCCTTTCAGTATTTTTCTTTTTCGTTTCTATCCGCTATGGACAGTGCTACTTTGGCGACTCTCCAGCCGTTTTTCGGTGGACAGTTGGAGGATGGAATAGCGACAAAATCGATAAAGGTACCATCTTTCAGTGACAAATTGTAGCCCTTTCAGTATTTTTCTTTTTCGTTTCTATCCGCTATGGACAGTGCTACTTTGGCGACTCTCCAGCCGTTTTTCGGTGGACAGTTGGAGGATGGAATAGCGACAAAATCGATAAAGGTACCATCTTTCAGTGACAAATTGTAGCCCTTTCAGTATTTTTCTTTTTCGTTTCTATCCGCTATGGACAGTGCTACTTTGGCGACTCTCCAGCCGTTTTTCGGTGGACAGTTGGAGGATGGAATAGCGACAAAATCGATAAAGGTACCATCTTTCAGTGACAAATTGTAGCCCTTTCAGTATTTTTCTTTTTCGTTTCTATCCGCTATGGACAGTGCTACTTTGGCGACTCTCCAGCCGTTTTTCGGTGGACAGTTGGAGGATGGAATAGCGACAAAATCGATAAAGGTACCATCTTTCAGTGACAAATTGTAGCCCTTTCAGTATTTTTCTTTTTCGTTTCTATCCGCTATGGACAGTGCTACTTTGGCGACTCTCCAGCCGTTTTTCGGTGGACAGTTGGAGGATGGAATAGCGACAAAATCGATAAAGGTACCATCTTTCAGTGACAAATTGTAGCCCTTTCAGTATTTTTCTTTTTCGTTTCTATCCGCTATGGACAGTGCTACTTTGGCGACTCTCCAGCCGTTTTTCGGTGGACAGTTGGAGGATGGAATAGCGACAAAATCGATAAAGGTACCATCTTTCAGTGACAAATTGTAGCCCTTTCAGTATTTTTCTTTTTCGTTTCTATCCGCTATGGACAGTGCTACTTTGGCGACTCTCCAGCCGTTTTTCGGTGGACAGTTGGAGGATGGAATAGCGACAAAATCGATAAAGGTACCATCTTTCAGTGACAAATTGTAGCCCTTTCAGTATTTTTCTTTTTCGTTTCTATCCGCTATGGACAGTGCTACTTTGGCGACTCTCCAGCCGTTTTTCGGTGGACAGTTGGAGGATGGAATAGCGACAAAATCGATAAAGGTACCATCTTTCAGTGACAAATTGTAGCCCTTTCAGTATTTTTCTTTTTCGTTTCTATCCGCTATGGACAGTGCTACTTTGGCGACTCTCCAGCCGTTTTTCGGTGGACAGTTGGAGGATGGAATAGCGACAAAATCGATAAAGGTACCATCTTTCAGTGACAAATTGTAGCCCTTTCAGTATTTTTCTTTTTCGTTTCTATCCGCTATGGACAGTGCTACTTTGGCGACTCTCCAGCCGTTTTTCGGTGGACAGTTGGAGGATGGAATAGCGACAAAATCGATAAAGGTACCATCTTTCAGTGACAAATTGTAGCCCTTTCAGTATTTTTCTTTTTCGTTTCTATCCGCTATGGACAGTGCTACTTTGGCGACTCTCCAGCCGTTTTTCGGTGGACAGTTGGAGGATGGAATAGCGACAAAATCGATAAAGGTACCATCTTTCAGTGACAAATTGTAGCCCTTTCAGTATTTTTCTTTTTCGTTTCTATCCGCTATGGACAGTGCTACTTTGGCGACTCTCCAGCCGTTTTTCGGTGGACAGTTGGAGGATGGAATAGCGACAAAATCGATAAAGGTACCATCTTTCAGTGACAAATTGTAGCCCTTTCAGTATTTTTCTTTTTCGTTTCTATCCGCTATGGACAGTGCTACTTTGGCGACTCTCCAGCCGTTTTTCGGTGGACAGTTGGAGGATGGAATAGCGACAAAATCGATAAAGGTACCATCTTTCAGTGACAAATTGTAGCCCTTTCAGTATTTTTCTTTTTCGTTTCTATCCGCTATGGACAGTGCTACTTTGGCGACTCTCCAGCCGTTTTTCGGTGGACAGTTGGAGGATGGAATAGCGACAAAATCGATAAAGGTACCATCTTTCAGTGACAAATTGTAGCCCTTTCAGTATTTTTCTTTTTCGTTTCTATCCGCTATGGACAGTGCTACTTTGGCGACTCTCCAGCCGTTTTTCGGTGGACAGTTGGAGGATGGAATAGCGACAAAATGGGTAAAGGTACCATCTTTCAGTGACAAATTGTAGCCCTTTCAGTATTTTTCTTTTTCGTTTCTATCCGCTATGGGCAGTGCTACTTTGGAGACTCTCTAGCCGTTTTTCGGTGGATAGTTGGAGGATGGAATAGCGACAAAATTGGTAAAGGTACCATCTTCCAGTGATAAATTGTATCCCTTTCAGTATTTTTCTTTTTCGTTTCTATCCGCTATGGGCAGTGCTACTTTGGAGACTCTCTAGCCGTTTTTCGGTGGACAGTTGGAGGATGTAATAGTGACAAAATGGGTAAAGGTACCATCTTGCAGTGACAAATTGTAGCCCTTTCAGTATTTTTCTTTTCTATTTCTATTCCGAGATAGGCTATTTGAGGTGCTACGTTGGCGGCAATCTGGTTGTTTTTTCCTGGACGATGATAAGGGCTAAATGAGCAAGTACTAGTCTTGAGCGACAAATTATAGCTCTCATGGTATTTTTCTCCTGCATCTCGGTTCCGAGATAGGCTATACGCAGCGGCAGCTTGATATCAAGCTAGCATTTAGCAACCAATTGGAGCGACAAATTTTGAGAGATTTGATAATAAATGACAAATGACAAATTATACATAGCGCACTTTAGAAACGAAAAATGCAACTTTATCGTACTAGCTTGACATACATACATACGTCGAGGTGAGGGTTGCCGTGGCTAGAAAAATAAAATTATATGTTGACTCATTTCTTATTTAAAATACCGCCGTTGAATTGTGGGTTCCGATAAAACGATTATTTTGTCGAACACCTGGCAACGTTCTCCATATTTTTGTTCGCACCGTGTCGCTGTGTAAAATCAACTGCGATCGTTCGGCGTATGGACGTCGTGTACACCTGCTTGGGACCGCATTCCGTGTACGAACGCGCCGAGTTCTCACACTAGCAGCAGCAGCAGCATCATCATCATCATCAGGCATCAGTAGGGCGACGAGACTTCCCCGGCGCCAGTGCACGTCGCCTCCGCCCCACCACTCACGCATTCTCGCGACAAACCTAAGCAGCCGGCCGCCCGTTCGACGCCGTGGTCGTCGGTGGCGCGGTGGTAACAAACAGATCACAGCAAGTGCCGTGCGCCTATCGCCTGTACTCCAACAAAACGTCCTATCGGGGTTTGTCATGCTCGTGATTGACCGCTTCTCGCTTGTTTGCTTTTCACTCGCAGTTCTTGTGAAGTAACGCAGAAGGCCGTGCATGCTGTTTAATGCATCGCCGATTACGAGTCGCGTACAAGGGTGCATTATAATAAATTGCTGGAATTGTTTACCGCTTCCTGATGATTTTATAAAAAAAGGAACAAAAACTGTTCTTCGAAAGTGTGCAGTTGTTGCGGTGAATGTGTCTATACCGATACATAGTTTGTTGTGAACTGATTGCTTAAAGGATTTAGATAAATATACGTTGATTATTATGACGAATGGAATTTGTAAAAGGATTTTTCTAAAAGGTAAGTGAATCACTATTAATTGTCGTTGTTTAAATCGTAAATTTTAATTGAATTGCTCAAAAAGTACTTGGTATATCAAGGATTTAAAAAGTTTGATATTCCATTCGCGATTACGTATTTCGATTGATGTTAACTTTTTTAACTACCCTGGTATCTGAAATTAACATTGCAACTTAATGTCAATATTAAGAAAAATAGATTATATTGCATATAAATGCGCCCTTTTCTATACACTAGTGGCTATTCGGTTACATGCAATCACCTAAGGGCAGCATCATCTTTTGATAAACAGTACTACTACTGGTATGGGATAATTCGTACAAATCCTTTCAGTTGTCTGATCGTATAAATAAATATTTTTAGATAGACGAGTTTGAAAAATTAATATTAACTAAAATTACGCGCAACTTAAAAAAGAAAAGGTGCCGACAAAAAAAATGTGTACTATAAAGTATAAAGGTACCGAACATATTTATGTGCTTGTACGTCATGAAACCTCGGTCCGGCCCTGTCCAACATGATACCTATTTATTCATTAGTCATTAAGCATTGCAACAGCGATAGGCCACCTACAAGCTTTCGAACTTCACTTGCTGGCGCTTACGAAGTATGTACTTACCATTACGTACAAATACGTATGCATCACATTCATGGTTGTATGTTTATTATTATTATACACACACTTAGATACATTTACGTGGATGCATAGGAAGGTCCACATGCATGCCCAAAGTGAATATGCAATTAGCCGTTCGATTGATTCTAAGAAATACAAATTAGAAATAACAGCAAAATTACGCCTGCGTGTAGGTATGTATGTAAGTTGATATTACACACTTGTCCGAAAAGTCTAATAATAATACCAAGCACGTTTATTACTGGCAATTAAAAACAAAAACATAAAGGTTAAATAATATTAAGTATGTATCTCGTTAATTAATTCCAATAATAATGGCTAAAGTAGTACGTGTTTAGGTGTAAATAAGTTGATGTTGGAGGCGGGTAAAAAAACCGGCGAAAGAAGTGATATTTATGAAATTATTGCTTGAAATAAATTCAAAATTATAATTAGATGTTGTAGGCAGGTAAAATTAATAGTAAATCGATTGAGGATTTTAATGTTACCAGTTGTTGATGGAGGCAGTAATGAAATTAGAGAAAGAATCTTTACAAAATTGTTCTGAATCAAGTTTATGTTAGAGGCGGGTAAAAGTCTAGTAAAATCATTAGTAAATTGTTCAAGGATAAAATCAAATCCAAACATGCTAATGTTCGAATTGGGTAAAAAGTTAGTAAATAAACAAATACTTAAGACAACAATAGTAAATTGTTCGAGGATGTTAGAGGCGGGTAAAAACTAGTAAAAGAAGAAATATTTACGAAATCAGTAAACAAGGTAATGTTAGAATTGGGTAAAAAAATCAGTAAATAAAGAAATACAGAAACGATGGTAAATTGTTCGAGAATGTTAGAGTCGGGTAAAATGTTAATGAACAAGAAAATTTTACGAAATCAATAAGAAATCCTTTAGGGACACATTAATGCTATAAGTTGTAAGTTGATGTTGGAAATAAAAAATAAAATAAAGAGGAGATATTTACGAAATAATTACTAAATTGATCGAAGATAAATTCAAAATTACAATTAGATGTTATAGGCAGGTAAAATCAACAGTAAATCGATCGAAAATTTTAAAGTTATTAGTTGGTGGTGAAGCCGGTAATGAAAAGATAGAAAGAATAATAATAAAATTGTTCTGAAACAAGTTTATGTTAGAGGCGGGTAAAAAACTAGTAAAAAAATAAACATTTACGAAATCAGTAGTGAATGGTTTAAAGATAAAATTAAACTCAAACAAGTTAGTGCTAGAGTTGGGTAAAAAGTCAGTGCAAATAAAACAAAATTTCTGAAAACAATGGACAATTGTTCTAGGATTAAGACAAACTCATGCAAGTTGGTGTTAGAGGCGCGTACAAAGTCAGTAAAGCAAGATATCTTCACCAAATCAATAGTAAATCCTTTAGGGATAAATTTAATGTTGTAAGTTGTAAGTTGATGCTGGAGGCGGGTAAAATAACGAAAATGGATATCAATAGTAAATTGATTAAGGATAGAATTTAAGATATAATTTTAGATCTTGGAAACGGGTAAAAAAAAGAGTAAAAGAATATATTAATAGTATATCAATCAAGGATAATGCCAGTGTTATAAATTAGTTACCATGTATTTATAACATTTTGATGCTTTTTTTTATAATTGTGAATTCTTGTTACAAAAAAGTACTTTTTGGGCAAATATAATTTTCACCTTTTTTACTATTTAAGACTCTCTTCCCCTTGTAAAATAAATTAGCACGAAGTTACTTGTTCATGTAAAGCAATGAAAGTAAATTTATTGATTAATATCTTAGATATTCCAGAGAAGTAAGATTATCTAGTTTGTACTCACAGTAGGATTTTAAGCAGCTAAACTATCAAAAGATTTGACTTTCTCCCTATCTCCTTCCCCCCTACAAATCTTGAAGGGTCTCTTAAAATAGATTTCACTGAATTTTACCGAAAATTAAAAGGGAGTTTATATTTAGGTGATCATTTGTTTTTATTTTGTTTTAGAAAATAATATGTCTGCCACCGACCGGACTGGTGGGTACAGTTCGGACCTGTACACCGAAGATGATGAACTTGTTCAAGTCCACTCACCAACAGATAGCAGTGAAGACAGCGTTGAAGTGAAGGTCAACCCTATTCCTCTTCGAAGCAAGCGTAAAGGGACAGACCCTAAAAAATTCGATTTTTGTACTGTCACTCCTCCCCCTAAGAAACGAATGTGCTTAAAAATATCTGAAGAAGAACGTAAAAATGCCCGAGAACCTTTTAGACCTTGGAATGTGTCAAACAATACAAAATGTCCTTCAATTATCGACACTACCACAACCAACACCAACACCACTCTTAATCCTGCTTTAAGGGATTCGTTAGTCCGATGTCCTACCCCTATTGGTGTCGAAAATGATTCCGAATCTCCCTTACCTTTGCTCAAAAAATCCACGTCTGATGAACCCCATCAAAGACTTGTCAAGAACAGTAAGAGTTCTTATCGTCATATACCTGGTCCAGATAATTCGGACTTTAGTGATGGTAGTACCTTGCGGGTCCCGTTTCATCCATCTTTTGCTCCTGTTGGAGCAGTCGTCGACGTGGAGAGGGCAATTCAACAGTCCTCAAACGCGTTTCCGAGTTTGAGAATGACCGAGTCTCCCGAAGAGTTTTCGTCAGAAGATTCCAGAAAACCCACCATCAGTGTTAAAAATTTGGACAGTTTGAGAGATAGCAACAGTGGTTGTAGTAGCAGTAATAGTAACAATAACAATAACAGTAACCGCGCAATCGGTATACAAAGACGGGAGCAGAGGAACTATAAGAATATGACGCGGGAAAGAAGGATTGAGGCGAATGCCCGAGAGAGGACCAGAGTTCACACGATAAGTGCCGCATTTGATACGTTGAGGAGGGCGATACCGTCGTACTCACATAATCAGAAACTTTCTAAATTGTCCGTGTTGAGGATAGCGTGTTCGTACATAGCCACGTTGTCGAATATCGTTACGGATTCGGAAGACCAATGTGAAAATTCTTTGGCAGAGTGCGTCGACAATGTTACCAGGACTATACAACGTGAAGGAAAACTGAGAAAAAAGAAGGACGAAAGTGATTGAACTTGTCGAAAAATCTTGATTCATGTTGTCATAGTGTGGGAACAGCAATAAAAATACGTTTCAATTTGACTCGAAGTTCAAAAGAAACGGTTTTCCTTGACCGGGGGTTGTTGTTGACTTCCGAATTACGAATCGCACGTCGTTCGCAGATACGTATAGGGGCCGTATTTAGGCCTACGATTTACTGAATAGTTAAATATTCGTTATTATAATTAAAACTAAATTTTATTTTATTCATGGTTGGTTCGAGTCGATTAATTAACATAATGAAAAAATAGGAAGTACTTACGTTAATGTTACTGTACGCCCAGAATTCATGTTGACGAGAAGAAAATATTTCCTAAGTACGCCCCTGATAACGACGTGCGATTCTTATCCATAAAATACAAAAAACAAGTTGCCTACTCCCAATATTGGGCCGCCGGGGGGTGAATTTATGCTTAAAAATTTTAGAAGGCTCCTACGCTTTTATATACCGAATAACTATTTGTAATGTACATAAATAAGTACTTGGTAGGTATCATATAAATTCATTTTTTAAATTTTACTACATTTTTTCGTGAATATGTACAATATTGCAATCTCATGATTTTTGTTATATCTATAAATATATTATTTTTAATTTACTATTTTCAGATTTTGAAGTGTTTTCTTGTGCATTTTGACACGCCATTATTACCTTTTTTTTTTTTATTCTAGTTATCTATTCGTATGTATATTGAACGTGATATTTTTTGTTTATATTTGTACATTGTATAAGTATAATAGTGTACTCAAGAATGTGATGATTTTTTCATCCTATTTGTACATATAAGTCCGTATTTTTGTACAATTATCGAATACTGTGCCATTTACTAAAAAATTTGTTACGAATTTACAATGAATGTTTTTTTATTATGGCAGTTCTGCTTTCAGTTTTTTTATGTATGGTACTGAAGTTTTATTTATTGAATAAAATATTTACAAAAATCATAATTTACAACTTTTAATTAAGAAAAGGTTAGAAGCGTTCGAAATGTGCTGTTACCGGCGAATGATCAGGATACCGGGGATACAGGTTAAAAATGAGGAGTATTTCAAGCTCGAAATGCTCTAGACATATTAGAAGCAGAAACAGGAGTTAAGAGGAGTAGAGGCAGATTAAATTACTGTTACAAATGGTTAAGGATGTGGATTGTTCTGGTTGTAGGGAAATGCGAAGCTGGGTCAGGATGATGATAGTGATGCCGATGTCAATGATCATTTAGGATATACAGGGTAGCGAGATTTTTACATCGATGATTTAAAAGTACACATATTTTTCGCATTGCTTCTATTAATAAGAAAAATGGTATTTTTTTGAACTTACATACATGAAAATAAATTACGAAATTAAGTAATCAATAACGAGTTTTAAATCATTCAACTAAAATTGTTTTCCCTAAACTACACGTGTAGTAAAGGTAAATATTCTCTCTTTTGTAATATTCATATGCCGACCTCTATTGTCATAATGAATCTCTAATTTGTTTTAATTATAGTTTACTATGTAACTATTACAAATCATTACAGAGAACTACATGGTAATTAGTTAACGAATGTTTTGAAAGATGGCAACGTAAGATTGTTTACGTTTTTTTATTAAAACTATTATCTAGACATATGGTTTAGGGGTATATTTTTAAAATACCACAAGATATATTTGAGACTTACTTATAGTAAATGTTCTACTTTTTATTGTTTCCATTTGATATAATTTACAAAACAATGTCGTTATTCTTCTTGGTCTTTTTATATTGATTTATTTCAGAATGCTTTCCCGTTTTCGCTTAAAGCCTCCTGAAAATTGGTAATCTGATGAAAACCCTCCATATAAACGTTCAACCAATGCCTTATTTTGGTCAATAAATGCCTCGATTTTATCTCTAGAACAAACAAAATAAATTCTGATGAAATACATTTACTTACGATATTTTTCTTTTTCTAACAATAGGTCGCGGTCCCTAATTCTCCTACCAACTAGCTTTAGATATATATAAAAAATTATAAAATAGGTAATAAAAAAAGTAATTGAATATATAAATAAAATCGATTTGTTTTACAAATGGTTTAATAACCGACATATGTATGAACATTGCAATATACTTACAAAGGGTATTTTCGTCTGAATCCCGACGAGCAGTAAACTTGTCCTTGGTAGGTGGAACAGAAAGTCCTTGAAATAAAATCTTCAGTCAGAACGGTGGTGCAAAGGGCGAATGCTACGTACCATCTTATCTGATTAAAAAAGTAAAGGGTAAAAAGAATAGATATACAATTAAAAACAAGGGAAGGTTAGAAATGAGGAGGTATTAGAAAGAGTAGCTTGGTAGGACACCTTCTCAAACATGAAGGACTAGTTAGAGACATCATCATCATCATAAGGTCGTCAGTCCTAAGACTGGTTAGGCACCCACCTCCACTCCTTTCTATCCTGAACTAATCTTCGTATTTCCCTAAAACTGGAACAATTCGTATGCTTAAATATTTGCGAAAAGTAATCTAATCCAGGTCTACCTCTACCCTTCCTAACTCCCGTTTCTGCTTCTAATATGTCTCTGACTAGACCTTCATGCCTGAGAAGGTGTCCTACC